GATAGCAGTCAGTGACCATGAAAAAAGAGGTCTATTAAAAACAGTAAGGGATCATGAGAAATCGATCCAACAACTCCTAGATGATGCAAAAAAGAATAACATAAGACTGATAGGAATACATGAAGTAGCAGGAGAAAAAACAAATGACTTTAAAAAGCTAATTGTGGAATTAATGACAGAAAACTTCCCAAACAGAGGGGAAGAGTTTGACATTCAGATAACTGAGGCATATAGGACCGCAACTAGCTACAATCAAAAAAAAATCTACACCTAGACATATAATAATCAAGATCCCAGAAACCCAACAGAAGAACAAAATACTACAAGCAGTAAGAGAAAAGAAACAAATCACATACAAAGGAAAGCCCATCAGAATCACAGCAGACTTTTCATCACAAATCCTTAGGGCAAGGAGAGCCTGGAATGAGATATTTCAAGTACTAAAAGAGAACAACCTCCAACCTAGACTGATGTATCCAGCAAAACTCTCTTTCAAAATGGATGGAGAAATAAGACACTTCCATGACAAAGAACACCTGAGAAACTATGTGAATACCAAACCAGCACTACAAGGAATTCTAAACAAATCCTAGAAAGAGACAACGAAGGCAGCAACACCATGAGGCCAACAGAGCAAATCAAATAGGCAAGGCAAGAAATTAAAAGGAGAAGTTGAAAAAGTAAAAAGAGTCAACAAAAGGCCAATAATATGTCAATAATAAGTCAGTACATATCAGTTATAACCAGTAATGTCAATGACCTCAATTCACCAATCAAGAGAAATAGACTGGCAAAATGGAATAAGAAGCAAAATCCAATAATATGTTGTATACAAGAAACACACCTAGTGCAAACAGAAGCCCATAGACTGAAAGTGAAAAGATAGAAAACAATTCTCCATGTGACAGGAGCCCCCCCAAAAAACAGGGGTAACAATCTTATTTGCAGACAAAGTAAATTTCAAACCAAAACTGAATCTAGTATTATTGACATAGGACAATACTGTGTCATACCTCTATGAATGTAAAATATCTAGTACCTGCTTTATGATACATAGTAGGGACCATGCTTTATCAGAGCTACATTTAATGATATTACTCTAGAATGTTCTCTTTCCAGATGATGATTAAGAGGCTAATAGAAAAAATGGTGCCAG